GAAAAGAGTGAAATATTGCCCCACTACCTTTTCATCCCAATTCTCACTCCTGAGAGGCAAACACCTTGAATTGTTAACACTTTTACAGTATCATGGTATTTACCTCCTTCCAGCTAAGTAGGACACTTACATTGTTCTTTCTTTTTCAGCTTAAGACCTTGTTGACTTCCTAAAATGACTGTGTGTGCTTTGTTTCCAGACACACCCCATGCATGTATCTAACACACACACCCAAACCAGGCTGTTCGTTTTGTGAATAATTCATCACGCTGATGATTATTACTCTTGCATTTTTCTGTAGGTTTCATACCTCACTAAAAAGTTTGTTTTTAAATAGGCAAGAAAACACTGCTTGCTTTAGTAGGACAAGAGTGACAGTACCATAGGAAGAAATGCAAAAACCAAATCAGAACGTGAGTTTCCATGGTAACTGCATCCCAGATCTATAGGATTTTTTAAAAACCTCCTTGTGAACCGTGAAGTACATGTAGAAAATATTAAGCATCAATTCACACTATGAGTAATTTTTAAACTCTCAAAAAGAAATAGAAAATTGTTGAAAAAAGGAACTCAGATATTTGTGCATTAACTCCTAGACTACGGGCAACATGTCTGTTCATCATTTTATAACCAGCATCAAGCAGCATATCTGGCCCATTCAGAGGTACCTGCCACAGAGAGTTATCTACAGTCATAATTTTCAAGGATTAAAATATCTCCTTTAGGCCTTTTATTGTTATTGTCAATCAATCATGTGAAATATTTGATATAACCAGTAGTATGTGCTATTTAATAAATGTATTGAGAAACTCATTTAGCTTTGGTAAACGTGAGAAATTTCACACACAACACATCCCCAAAGACCAAATAGGAATTGGTCTCCTGTATGTCTTTTTTTTTACCTCATTCTTTAAAGGAATATGTATTTATGTACAAGGTGATTCAGCTAAATGCCATCTCCTGTTAAGTAATCGCAGTAAAGTGCATGCACCAAACAAGTAAATAATTGGTAAGTATTAATCTTGACCATGTTAATATTTTTAACCATGTCTACCGGATGACGAACGATTCGTTACATACTGCCTTTCAGAAACATGTTCTCCCAACTTTTCCAGACACAAGATCATGCAACAACCACGCTTCTGTCAGATTTGGTTTGCAAGCAGCCCAGGAAGGTAGAACAACCAGGATCATCCTGCTGCATTCTCTTATGTCATTGCCTAGATTTTCTCCTTTTCATGTGCTATTTCTCAACTTAATGTTAATTTTCCCAGCAAGCATTAGCTTGTATTGTTTTGTTCTTTTTCTCTTTCTCACAATGCTATTTATAAAATTCACAAGTTTTAAATATACAGCTTGATGAATTTTGGTAATTGTATACAATCATAGTCACCATGACAACCAAAATACAGAACGGTTCCTTCCTTGTTTCTATTATACTTGTTCTACTCCCTCTGTCATACCTCTGGCCTCCAGCAACCACTGCTCTACATTCTCTGACTATAGTTTCACTAGAATCTCTTATAATTGAAATCACACAATGCACAATATTTTGCGTTTGACTTTTTCACTTAGAGTTATGTTTCTGAGATTTATCCCTGTGTTTCTGGTACTAATATGTCATCCTCTTTTTATTGCAGATAGTATTCTGTGGTACACAATTTGTTTGCCTATTATCAGTTGATGGGCATTTGGATTTCTTCCAGTTTTTGGCTAGAATGGTCACACATTTTTATGTGAATATATGTTTTTGTTTCTCTTGGATAAATACCTAAAAGTGGAAATGCTGAGTCATATAATAAATATATGTAACTTTGTGAGGTGTTGCCATATTCTTTTCCAAGTGGCTATACCATATTTTGCATTCCACTAGCAATGTATGAAACTTCCAATTGCTCTACATTATCATACCAACCTTTGCTATTAGTGTTGATGTTTTTTTTTGCAGTCATCCTAGTGAAAGTGAAGTAGTATCTTTTTCTTCATTGTTTTAGTTTTTGCAATTTTGTTGATGACTAATGTTGTTGAGCATCTTTTCATGTGCTTATTAACCATTAAGATATCTTCTTTTGTGAATTTTCTGTTCAAGTCTTGTGTCTAGTATTTTTTTTAAACCTGGATTGCCTTATAATTGAGCCATGAGTGTTCTTCCTATATTCTGAGTATAAGCCCTTTGTTGAATATATGTTTAGCAAAAATTTTCTCCTAGTCTATGGTTTGCCTTCTTTTGTTCTTAACTATGTCTTTCAGAGAGCAACAATTTTTAATCTTGATGAAATCTATTTTATCATATTTTTCTCTTAAAGTTTCTGGTTTTGGTGTGTTGTTCAAGAAATCTTTCTCTCACCCAATGTCACAAAGATTTTACCCTATTCTATCTTCTAGAGTTTAATAGTTTGAGCTCTTAAATTTAGGTCTATGGTCAATTTAATTTAATATTTATTTATGGTATGAAGCAAAGTTCAAGGTATTTTTTTTTTATCTCATACAGATATCTGAT